ATCATCAACTCTCCACGACTCCGACCCAATGATACCTCGCCATTCACGTAAACCTGATGAGCGGTGGGCTTTTCACTATAGACTCAGTCAATTAGTTTCCGTCTCCAAAATTTGTGTGTCTCTTACACTAATCTGACTGCCCGCCTGCAACTTTATAAACTTATCTAATAATACCGGCCGATGACTTGCTGCACCAGCCAAGAGCGTAAAAACTAAATTTTAACTTAGTACTCGAATTCTGAATTAGTTTTCCAAAACAAAATGAACAAATCGTATTTTTCCGGCAAACTGAAGGTAGAAAGGGTAAAGAAAACGAAATGAACAGTTTCGTAGAAAATATTGCTGTATTTTTTTTGGATGCTGAAACTGAAAACTCAGACAGTCATTATGTCGCCATCTATGGGTATTTGTACGCGACGATCTGAAGATCCTTCCAGACAGCACTCAAATAGTTCTTCACATCGTAGGGGAAGGAGCTGCAAGCGACAAACAGGAAAAATAAGCCTCAAATAATTTAGTCTGCACTCTGTGGAAAAATTGAGTTTGAAATACATTCACATGACACCGGCCAGTACATTGTAAAGGAGTAAACGGTTATAATTGCAATCTGTTGTCTTACACGTTTACATGTGTGATCTAGTGTGGATGGTTGTTTTTGGACTGATCGTTTTTTGGAGGCAATAGGAAGAGAAATTAATCTTAGAAGTTTCCAATGCCTTGCTGACAAGTTTGACCTGCCCATGCAAACAACATGCTTTTGTTGAGGTTGAACATTTAAATTATCATTTTTACTATCCTTTTTATGCGAAATATATGTGCACTCCCTTGAAGACCCCATCGCACATTTTATTACGATCGCAATTTACGGCAGGCTGATAAAGGCTTCTCAGTTAACTCTGAATGTTAATATGTAGTAGTGACTGATATTTCAGTGAAACTGTTTTTAAGTAGCCACAGCAACCCAGTGCTTATGATGAATATCCAGCTTGGAGCGCAACCTCTTCGGAGATTTGGTAAAGAAATAAGTATAGAGCCATTTTCTGTTCTCCCTCTCAATGATACGTTTGCAATAAAGGAACACAGAAAGTTCATCTTACCTTCCAAAACTCGGTCCTACATGACAGTGCCAGACTCCGCCAAACGTGAGTTCAAGGCCCTCTTTCAGTTTGTATGCGAGGCGCTGTGGGTAGTTACATTCTGGATCTGAAAGGATAGTTTCGAAGACCTGATCAATCCTGGGGTCATCTTTGAGAGGTCCACCTTTGTTACGCACTTCCATTTTGCCAGTTGTGAAGCTCCGTTCCTCTCAGGTGGTGAACGCCAGGTGACTATATGTCAACATTGCCGATAATAAAGAATATGCTTAGCCGCACTTCAAACGGCTCCAATCAGCGGCAAATCCTTCTGACTGCTGTGCGCCATTGCTTTGTTGAGTCAGGGTTTGATATGTGCTCTAAGACTGGCCAGCCGCGGTGCTGAGAGGCAGGTTTAGATGCACTATGATTCAGAAACCAGTCACCACGTCGCAAAACTGTGTGTTTGAAAACTATCAGTTTTGCTGACCTACAGTGAGACTGGTACAACGTGCCAGCTAGCCAAGTAACACAAACAGGTTATTCACATACACGGTTATATTCCATCCTGTTTAACTTAAATAGATCCCTCTTACGATTACGATTAACGGTATAGACAAGGCTCCATAGATATTCTTAATGGATTCTTTAAACGTCAGCTGCTTCAAAAGTGGCCAAACACTGATCATAATGGTTAAACTTTCAACTCCAAAAGAATGGTGCAGCAATTGTAAAACTGATTAGCGTGGCGTATAAACGCATGGTAGCTCGTGATTACTTGGGAGTAAACAGATTATTTCCATCTTGTAAATGCTGCAACAGACATAGATTTCTGCTCACTTATTGGGCATATATTCTCACAACATCCCATTATCTGTGTTTGCAAAGGCTTTTAAAAGGACTAGTAAAAGTCACCCTCTATCTTAGTGCTGCCCGAAGTCTAAATCTTCGATCATTTTGCCCTTTGAAAACGCTACATTTGACTTTAGACGAAGTTTACGTTTTTGCGAATTCTGACAAATTAAAGGGTGTTTTCTTGTTGTGCAGCATCTGCAACACCGGTAATGCTGCGTTTCAGTTTGTGACAGGTTACCCCTGTCAAAACTTTTAACAGCAAATAAAATAACTCTTTGCACAAACACGAATGCATAAAAATATGCAAAAAACCGACGTCGAATGTAGTTTAGAATTTACAAACCCAGATAAAAGTACATAAAATGTGTAAACGTAAAGAATAATGAGTAGACTTTCAGTAGTGGGACACTCTTGTTTTTGGCGCAAACTTCGCAAAGCACATTATTCCACATGTAAAGGATATAAAAATTGAAAACTATGTGCAGTTGTTGTCAAAAAACTGATTTACTCTATAAGAGCAATTAGCATCAACGTAAATACTTTGCACTTTGTTGTGGCAGTATTTATCAGGGTAAAATTTCTAAGTTTGCTCGAAAAGGTACTTACGTATGTATTAGTACTTTATTGTTTATGGAACAGCCTAGGATACGTTTTTAAGTTTATACCTACGGCACAGTTACTTGGATCATTTTCTGCTTGAAGACTGGTTTTAAGATTCCATTTACTTTAATGTTTAACGAACACCGTCACTAACGTTTACCGGAGAAACTCATGAACGTCTATTATCTCTTGACTCTCAAGAAGAAACAATCTTTCTTACAAATTGTGGGCAGTGAGAGATGGGTATAATAATATTGGCATGGCGCGAAAAGAAATATCCTTTTTTCAAGATTTTCAGGTTTCGACTTTGGATAAAGCGAAATAAAAAATGTTTTTTATTCCAATCTGCAATTTGCACGTCTAGATGATGTGGACCACTTATAGTGTTTAAAAAGCCAAATGAATTTTATCCAGGAAACATCAAGATTATACTCTGAAAAGAATAAACCTGTATAAAACTCAAATTCCCGACATTTGTCCTACGACATTATTCCAAATCATATATATTCTCATATTTGGTTCAACAATATCAACACATTCGGTTAAATTTCAACTTGTTAGGAGTCTCCAGAAATGCAGGCTTAGCGGTTTTAGTCAGTCCATAGTGCTGCCGGAAAATAAATGTACTACGGTCATTTCATATTGTAAACATAAAAATGATTTACTTCGTATTCTCTAAAAAATAAGCAGTTACACGAACAGTTAAGGCAAATCCAAAAATGCATGTCTTTGACCAGCTGGCTTTCATATCTCTTATGCAACTATTGAGATTAAAATCTTTTCGAGGCAGGACGACTCTTTAATAACATAAGAACATGCACTCCGGAACCAGTTTTATTTGTTGTATCATGACATTATGGGGTAATGTCACCGTGGAAAAGTAGCATGCCGTTTCAGTGTATATCTGTGTTTTACCTTTTCTCAAAAATCGGTAGCTTAGAATCATTTGCGAGTATTCCAGAGTAGCCGTACTACAACTGTTTAGAACTTACTTTAAGTCACACAGTGTCACTTGTCGGTTACGTCTATAAAAAATTAAGGATGTTTAACTTTGTCATCGATGATACTCCACGAACTTTCCCATTCTAACGGATTCAGGCTGATGTTTTCACGTGTGCTGAAAGCCGTCAATTATTTACTTTTCAAGTCTGTATTATTGAAGTATTTTGCAAGAAAGACACTAACTATTTATTTGACCATCTGCGAAAGTTTTCGGAAAAAATCAACTTCGTAAAATCGGAAAGTACCGCATTTCAAATCAAGTACTTTCCTAAAACAAGAGAAATATATTCATACAAATTGTGAGAACTCGTTATTTTAAATGTGACTTTGCTTAGCGGACGTCAATAAAGCAAACTTTGTCTGGACACTGACATTCCCCCTCATATGTGAGGAAGCGAGGTAGCTAACTCCGTTCTTGCAAGGATATCGCTTTGTCTCATACAGGTCAGAATTTCAGTTGTGACATAATACGCCTAAAACGGAGGCTTGTTGGCAAGACTACCTGGAATATGCTATCTACTTTGGCCTCCTTTTTAAAATTTATAAAAATATCTCAAACTCTTTCCGTAACGGCGAAGCTTGTTTTATTGTATTCAGTAATACAAAGTTTTCTCAAAATGCCGTCGAAAAGATAAGGCATATTCGTGAAGTTATTCACAGTGCATATCCTTATGAATTCGTAAAGAAGATATAAAGTGGCCCATTAATCAAACTGTTCCAGTGCATGATTGGCTAGTCATTTGGTTTTACGTATACTAACTCTGAAACAGCATTTATGAACTATATTATAGGCATTAAGTGTTGCAGTAAAAGCACAAGAATTATAAATAAAAAAGTAATTTTGAACATGTTTCACCTAGTCGTAAACAATATAAAAACGCGTTATCTTTGCAGAAAGCGCTATAGAAATTTATAATTTATTTCAAGCTGGCGGTTCCTTACACGCACAAATGTTTCCTGTTCCTTTTATTAAGTAAAGGGCTTTGGTTGTTACAGAATGTTGCCTTTAACACTTTTGTGAGCATTTATATGCTACGAATATTTTATAAACTTTTCCAGGAAAAATGCAAGCGTTTTTAGCGTTGCTGTGCATAAGTAACTGTATAAGTTCAAAAATATTTCAAACTGAAAATTAAAGCTTTGATGCTGGTCTATTAACTAGAAGGCCTATATTTCAGATTTTAATTTTTGCATCTATGAAGTAGACACAGTAGGTGACATAACCTAGTGAATGTGCTCAAACGAACACAGTTAATCCATCGAAGACTGACCCAAATGCATTGAATAAGCTGCTGATCAATAATAAAGACACCCATTTGGGCTAAAACAAAAATATTAAGGAGATATTAAATCCGGTAGGAATTATGCTTTTGGGAAAGCAAACGGTAGATTTAGTTTTTGGAAGTACATTAATTCACTAGTGCAAAAAGTAGGGTAATTGAGGCAATTGAGGTAGAATGACACTCACACATAGCCCTCTCAGGCAATTTAAACTTACATGGACCCCGATAATCAGTTTAATGTCAATTGTAGCATTAGCCATCCGCTTGCCGTCGGTTCAACGTTTTAGAACTGTCCCACACAAATTAGACTAATTTTTTATATGGGTCGTAACGCGACTGACTAAAGCAAAAAAAGCTTTACTTGATACAGTGGATAGAGAGCAATTTAGAATCACAATGATGTCACATGTTGAGTGCCTGTTCAAAATTATAGTATTGAAAAAGAAGTATGCTTAATGATAATCATGTCCTTTTCCATGTTTTAGTAAGATGTCCTACCATATGATTACTTTGCGGATTTTTGTATTGTTGGAAGAAGTTTATTTTCAAGGTGCACGTGAAATATATCTTTAAAGGTGGTTGTTTTAAATGATCCAACTTGACTACCGAAAAGACACATTCTGTAGTTTATGTTTACTAACATCCTCAAAATACTATTATTTTTAATGCATATCGAGAAGCAAGGTAGATATGTTAGCTCATTAATCGTTTACTTGAATTCTGAAATGCGTTTACGACTCAAACATATTATTTAATTAGGGTTGTAAGATTAATAACCATGCAGCATAAACTCCTTATAGTTCAGTTACTTCAGGATGCCAACTTTTGAAAGAAGTTATTTTTGGTTGCCTGCAAAGATTATACTTGGTAAAAACGACCTCCTAAAAGGCAAGAAACGTTTTCATTGTTTTTCGATGCCCTTATGAATTCCCTAGTATTTCGTAGAAAACGCGCAGAAAAATATTTATTTGTTTCTTAAGTTTGTGGAACGTTTTGTTTTCTCCAAATTTTGTGCTTGAAAAAAAGAGTATTTCTCGTTCTAGGAACACTTTTTCGACTCCCAAATAATTTTGGACCTGACTTGCCGTTGCACTTGTATTCGGGGTCTCCGAACTACAAACGTTGTATTTCTGTGTACGGAAAATCATACATTCCAACATGCTGCCTAAAGGAGACCACAGGGCGACTTGAGCCGTATTGTAAATTTCACAAGCAATATTAGCAAATGCAGACACACTATGATTTATGAACGGGCATTCCACGGTCTAAAAAAATTTCATAAGTAGATACTTTTTCAAACCGAATTACGTCCTTTCGTCAAGTATAAAATTTGAGAAAAAGGCGTATTTTTTTACCCGATGAGTAAATAAATGAATATGTTTATGCTTCTTTTCCATAAAATGTATTTGCCTTTACAAGGGCCTCAAGAATAAGTAGGAAATATAAGTATAGAATAAGTATAAGAATAGAATAGAATAAGTATAAGTATTAAATAAGAATAAGAATAGAACAAATATAAGTGTAGAATAAGTAGGAAAATATCTCATTCATATGTGGCCATTTTTACCAAGTGTAATTTTTATATGCGGCTGAAAAAATATTTCAAAAACTGCTACCCTGAAGTAGCTGAATTATTATGGGCATATGCTGCATGATAATTAATATCATAATCCTATCTAAATAATATTTGTGAGTCGAAAACGCATTTCAGAATTCTCGTTAAAGTTTCATGAGTTAGCACATCTACTGTACTAAGCGTTCAAATTTTTATTCTTATGTAAAAAATTTTTGAGTCATAGTTGTGAACCTGCCCATGCATGAAACCTAACCGTTGAAAAGAACAGATGTTTTTAACAAAGGCCTATGATAAATATATTCACGATCATGTGAGGAACGTTCCCTAATGAGCTACAATATGCAAAATGTTTCATTAACGTATTTTCTTGATAAAAGTGGCACGTTTTACTATTTTCAACAGTTAAGGTAAAGCACATCCGAATGTTTGGCTGACCCAGACCTGTTCCTAGAAGCGCTGGTACGTTCTTGTTGTAGACAAAAAACGCTCTTGTTTATTTACGATAGCGTAATTTTTATCATCTTTTCTTGTATTTTAACTTTGATTTACAATAATTTGGGTAGTTAAATCATAACTAAAACTTAACTGTTTACCCTGGGTCTATTTCGGTAATCCAAATCTTGGTAGCGAAATACCGTATCTTGCCGTATTTCAAAAGTTTATATGGCCGCTGAACAATAGACTGTTCTGTTGTAATTTGTGAAATATTTGCATATGCCTAGAAAATTGGACAAGTTAGAACATTTTATTGTGTAGATGTACTCTTCCTCCTGTTGAGGTTCACAGAAATACAAATCAGTTTTTTGGAAAAAGGAAATATTCTTCCGAATCTAACCATTATTCGGGTACCGCCTTAATTTAATGGATGAATTTCGTTTTAGTAGAATTTATTCGTACAAAATTAATGACCTTTGTAAAAGACACACACTGAGGCACATACATGGTTGGGATCCAGTATTAGCAAAGAATTTTCTGGGCACAAGAACTTTAACTTTTTGCACAAATTTGTAAACAATACTTCCAACAAAAATTTTAAAAACCTTTATAAATCAAGATATTTTGTAAACCACGTAAGGATATTACGCGTATGGTAAAACGCTTGCGGGTACCAAAATGATAAAGCTATTTTCTCTCCCACCTGCCATGGGCTATTACTGCCTAACCCCGCTTTACGCTTCCGAACGGTTATACTGCACATTTAAACAATTATTCAATTCTTTTAATTTTCAGCCACATACTGTGTTCCACATCAGGTTGCTAATTACAGTAACAAAGAACATTTTCGTAGGCTAGTTTAAACTTATTTTGCCGACCTTAGGGTGTTTCAGATCCGAGTTCATCATAAATATTAAGTCACTTATACGTGTTTTTGTAGAGTAACAGTACAGTAGCAGATCCTTAAGTGGCACGACCCGCTAAAGCAGTAAAATAGTCGAACGACATTTATTGAAGCAATATGAATCCTTCCTTCGGGTGTTCTATATTCAGCTTCTACATTAATATTTGCTGTAGTCCCCAAAAAACCCTGTGCTACCGACACGCTTATTTCAAGAACAAACTTGGTCTGTTAAACGACTGAAACTGCCACAGATGTGCATTCAGTGGGCGTTGTTCTACAGTTTCGTAACCGTGCGAGAGTTTGACTCTGTCGATTTAATTGAATTTTGTCTCCCCCAAATGTCTCCATGAGACCAATGAGGACCAACTGGCACACAAGTAAAGCACGCACTCAGCTCTCAGCACGGAATGAACCATTTGTTACTTTGCGCTATATACGTGTTATAACTTGCTTTTTCTTTGAGGCAATTCACCCTATATTCCAAAAGAAATTGCGTGCCCCAGAGGATGGCCAACCGCTGCAAAAATAGTGATCCTTGTGAGGTTCGGCCCAGATACGTGAAGAAAGATCTACCTGCAAAATGTGAACCCAAGTTGCTGGATGTTGTTCAGCAAGCATGCCAGCTCTACGACGACTATGTAGATATGGCTACCGTCGTAAAACAGAGTCTCGATGATGCCTACGGACCAACTTGGCACGTTGTCGTTGGACCCAATTTTGCGAGGTATGTACATTCAAAATCCAGTCGTGTTTGAAATTTTTTCGTGAAGCTTTATTTAAAATGATATTTCCAAACTTAATAAAAGACTTTACAATCAACGTTTTAAGATGTTTAATTAGAAAAGAATAAAAATCGCTGTAATTGGTAAGGAAATACTTTAATTTATTCAAGATAATGTGAACTGTTTAACGCAGTTATTACTAAAAAGACTCACGAAACACGTACGAGTAAGTAAGCAAACGGTAATAATTAATCCACGCATTTTGTGTGGCCGTTTTACGCGTTAAGCTTCGAGATTTTCAAAGATTGTTTTAAAACATACAATGCGATTTAAGACTATTCGAGTTAGAGGAGTTTGTCATAGGAGTTTGTCATAGTTAGGAAGCAGTGCTTTTTACATTTACCAACACGGACTACTGAGTCTTCATAGCAAATGCGTTTCAAAGAAGTTTCAATATTGACTTTGGTCTTAATGCCAGAAAATGAAGAGTTTGCGCTGGAATAATCTTCAACTATGATTAACAAACAACTGGATTTATTCGTCGTTTTAATTGATGTCAAACCGTTTAGATCAAAAGATGCAAACTAAAGAGAAGTTTACAATTTTACTCTATATGACAGAGTCGTTAAAGTGCTGTTGGTACAGAACGAGTTGTCTATATTTAAATTTTTGGATATTCTGTTTAATTTTATGTTGAAATTTCAAAAAGTCGACTCTCATAATTAAACAGACCCTCGAGAAAAACAGGCAAATTCAGGTCCCTTGTAATTCCTGCTCAGTCTTCAGTTCTTGCTTCTTAACTTGTTTGCATTGTTTTCACTTGCAGCCACATCATGCACGAGAAGAAGGCATTCGCTCACATAAAATGCAACAATCTCTCCTTCCTCATCTTCCGATACGGCTAATGCATAGACGGTTGGCATCAGTGCATGAATGTGTGCATCTCAGTCTATATGTTTATGGCTTACCTTACATTTTCGAATAAACCTGACCCAATAAAGGAGATATACACTTACTGTCCTCTTGTTTTTTTTTCAATATTAATTAAACTTTAAACACTTGTTTTACTTCGAACAAACGCATAGTGTTTTAGTTCAAACTAAAACTATATCGTAGTTTTTGGAAAGTCTTCAAAAACCAGGAATTGTGTTAATGCTTTAAAACTGATGGGAATCACAAAAATATGGAAGCGTTTAAGATAAAAGTGGTATAAATCGGCTGTGCGAAAATTTCATGGAAGAAGTAAGCATTTTTAGTAAATAAGACGCATGGCGTTTACATCTAGCCGCCCGATTTAGTCAAACAGGGGATATGTATCTGTAAACAACGGCAGTATTCTAGGCTATGTAGTAGACGTGCTTTGACAACTACAGTTACTATCGTTTCAGAGCATAACTGTCTGCCGAAATATAAAAGCGTTTAAAGCTTGATATTAAAACCGAAATAAAACTAAAAAGAAAGTGATTTATCGTACTGGCAAGAATAAGGTACATAATCTTTAGACATGATCAATGGTTGTTTGGAAATGCCATCTTGAAAGTTTCCTCTGTATATTTCAAAAGATCCACGCATGGTACGACCAATAGTCTCATAAAATTATTTTAACCTTGTCTTTTCTTGTTACGTTTCGTACAAAACATTATAGAACTTGGACTGTGTATAGTTTTTTTACAACATGCAGGAGAGCTCTAACAACCACGCACCCATAAGCTGATTTTCGTAAAAACATTTGGGACATGCGCCGTTACACTTGTAAAGATAGCGTATTAAAGTTTACGCTCCACACTTCATAACTTCGCATGTGGTAGAAAGTTGGAGTTTGTGTTTTTGTTTTTATTTTTTTCAAAACACCTCGTTAGTACATTAGTACTTAGTTACTGCATCCCACTGGTGTTTTGCACATTGCCAAATGAGTAATTGTTCACACGTTTATTCAGGTCCCAAGTATTAGCATGACCAAAAAAGCCTCTACATGTCCAATTCTTTAACTTTGTTTGTCACAAGTGATAGTCCTTTGAGTTTGGAATGTCGTCATTGTGTTCTTCAAAATATTACACCATTTCAGTAATGTATAGTAAGTAATGTCTGATGCAATCAGTTTGCAGTTATTTTTATTGGGTTACCCCATCTTCAAATGACGTAAGCGCTTCTTAACTTCGCATCCTAGACCTTTATGAAATCAGTCCATAACAATGTTTCAACGACATGCAGGAAAAAATCGAAATAACCCAGGAAGTAAAGCAATTATTTGGACGCACGTAAAACTTTAAGCGTTGGACATTTTAGTTCACATAGTATCATGAGATAAAAGTTCTAAAAAAGGCCTAAGGGCAATATTTTGAAAAAAAACATCTTCGGTCAAATAATTAACGTTCTGCAGTTTCTGAACCGTTCCTTATGATATCACAGTTGCCTATCATGCTGACTGTGCCTGCCTGCGGGTGACAGATTACTCGCTTTGACGTGAATATTTGGAATAACGTTTCCTGAGTTATCCTATTTTAAAGCACTTTGTCTTTCGATTTATCGGACCGTCGAATCCTTGAAATGTTAGGTCAAATTAAGCTGTCAGTGGCTAATATCGTTTGCCTAGTGGAAGGACAATAGAGAGAAAGACGAAGGAGTCCTGTAGGACTTCTCATAAAATCCAATCCAAATATCCGCATTAACTGACAGTATCGTGTTAAACTGTGGTATCTGCGACGATTGTATTTGCCATCAGTTCTATATTAAAGGGGGTTATAGTACCCTAAGCAATTTTAAGAATTCATGGTGAAGCCATCGAATTCTACGGTTGCTGGCACTAAATTCTCTATGCTCTAAAAAAACCTTTGCAGTTTCAATTAATTTACAACCATTTTTACTTGTCAGATGTAGAATTTAGCATTCTGCGGCAGTATTGCTCTCTAGTAATATCGAAGCTTCCGAGCAAACGGGTCACCTATTCAACCTTTTCCTTGCGTTTTGGGAATCCAAAGCTGTAAAATATTTAATTAAGCGTTAAACATCTTTATCAGTATATTACAGAGTACCATTATTTCTCACCGATGTGAAAAGTATGGACATGTTTTATTGATTTAGCCAGCTAGAAGCATTAACACGTGCTGCCATCCAACAAAGGGTATTCGGAGTTAGAAGACCTGCTCTCCAAACTTCCCTTTCTCTGTTTGCATACGAATAAGCGATAAGCATAGTATTCTCTAACGATCAACTCAACGGCAACAAATACGATATATTTAATCGGATAAGGAACGTATTCCGACAGCATTTGCTCACATTTTTTCTACTTATTCATGCGTCATCTTCCCCCTTTTCCTCGCAGGGATCTTTCAAACGTTCCTTGCGTTCGTACTGTCCATCATCGTTTGGTTGAATTAATACGTATTGTAGCAAATTGCCTCGCATATTTTCTGCATTTCACTTCAGTGAAAAGATGAATGGTAATCGATTTCTCTTTCAAACTACTCGTTAACATGTAAATGTTCTGGCTTGATGAGAATTTACTTAGAACAAATGCTCGCCTCCAAAGTAACCTTTTGGATCTCTATAATGGAAGTTTCCGGACTTTAACTTGGAAAATATCTTGCCTCTGCAGATGAGGTCAAGCTTTTTCTGCCTAAGCAACACCTTCTGTTTATTTATTGTGTGTGTGGGTAGCAAACTTTGCTTTGTCCACACCTATTACCTAATGTACACGTATGGAGAAGATGCCATCACTTGCCGTCGATTACTTCGCCATCAAAAGGTAACTCTTTTAATCATAAGGTTCAGCAAGCTCTAACATTCACCGTCAGCAAGACGCCTACAGCTCTGTAAACATTCAGCTTAAATAGCCAAATATTTCCTGCTTAACTTAGCCGTAAGATCACCTTAAATCACTTGATCCGCTTACTGCAACAGAAAAACTTGAACAAGGTCTACGGAACGGCAAACATCTGCATGAAAGATTACTTTTAAGCTGGGACATTTCGCTGCACAAAGAAAAAACACTTGTAAGTTGGTAACTTGAGGTCAATGCGTACGCTAATGCGTTTTTGAAAAAAAACCATAGGCCTAGCTTCAATCAATTTGGGCTTTCTAGTCAGCATCACCATGCCACTCTTATTTAATGCCTAATGTAATAAGACTTTGATGCTCACAAATATGAAATGATGATGCTATACTTCGAGGTAGAGGAAACCATTTGATGGATATTTTCCACGACTTGCGGGAGAGGAATAACAGACCCATCTCAGTGAAGATATGCGCAGGGTGATATTCAGGTGCTAAAGCAAGACGGTGTTAGATTCTCCCGC